TAATTCTTCCGCAAGACGCTGCATACACCGTTCAGTTAAGCAGTTCATATAAGCTCCACAGTCCTCTCTTAATAAACCATATTAGCGGTCGTATTTAGCATAGGTGAGTGGCAATAACCTCGAAAATTGATATGTAGTTCCCGCTGATGAAAAAAGTTCCCGTTCACACTTGAGAGCTGGTTGCTTTCAAGTGATGAAACTGTAGTCTGTCGAAGTCCAGTAACTGTAGGAAAGAACATAAATTCCAGAGTCCGCCGTCGCGACGTGACACGCGTTCGCAATTGCGACCTATCCCACCATCGTGTACAGTATGTTAGTAACAAGCACAACAACCAAAAACAAATCATGGCAGTGTTGTCTCCTACCGGAAAGTAAAAGTTTTAGATGTGTGAAGAATCAGTTCCTACCACAGCAATAATGCCTTTGTTTGACGATTCCCATGTATGGAAGAAACCGTAACAAATCCGAGGCTATGCCAAGCACTTTTTCCATCAAAATCTCCAAGTAGTGGCCGGGCGTCAAGTGAATGCCACCAACGTGGCCAGACGTAGTCGCACTAATTCGCCATGTCGTCACACCTCTCAACTCTTCGAACAACAAAGTCCAATCCAGTTTACTAGAGGGTGAAAGTGAAGTTGATGCGGCAGCGTCAGACGACCCACTAGTTTCACTTCTAGACAACAACGTTATCCAAAACGAACGGATCAGTCATGGGCTTAATACATACAAACCAGTAGACGCTAATGTCACACATTCCGATAAGAAACATGTGAGAGTGGAGACCTAGCGTGACTTGGCTATAGGCCAAAAACTCAGCTACAAGCAAACGTTCTGACTAATCTTCCTGAACACTAACGAAAGTTATCACAAGAACGCTGAGTTATAGGCTAATGTTTTAAGCCTTTAAAGTGTGAACTGCAGCGGGAAGTCGCACCTATCGCGATGACGAATGCCTGCAAAAACTATCGAAAGTTTCACTTTTTTTTACAGGCGATGTGTGCCCTCCTTGCAGAACCACTTCCAAGAATTGCTTGTGACGAGTGCAGGTGACCCCGAGTAAGGGTCAAATCTTTTCAGCCGCGACTAGTCAGGATGAGATGGTTTCCGTCTGGAAGAAAACTGCGAAGAGTCATAGGAAGCTCGTAGTCGCGTAATCCCGGCGAAATAAGCATCAAGACCGGTGTTCTCCCTGATTTCGAACTACCAACTACCTGAAGACTAAATATTTGTTTTTAGAGAGGTGTGAGGTATAACGAAAACTTTCTCTGCGAAAGTTCGAAGGCATTTCCTCCCTCGTCCTTTGGCAGAGACATCGAAGGGAGAAAAAGAAGTGATACGGAAAAAAGAAGTAACTGAAGGAAATCGGATGCAAAAAGAAAGGAGAAAAGTCTTTGCGGTTGAGAGACACTTTTATGAACACCATATTGGTGAAAGGGTTCCTACTGAGGGATAGACACTTCAGATAGGGTTTTTACCTTTTTCGATATAGTGTAACTTCGTTCATGATTCGTTATAAGAGAAGCAGCCTCCATTTAATTTTCAGTGACAGCCTTAACCACTTACCAGATCGTCGAGGCTCTAGAGATGTAGTGGCAAGTTGCACGCTTCTCGCTTCGAGACTCAAATTTGGTTTGGCTCCCGCCCAGGGCGGTCAAGTTGACCCGCATTCGTCTGGGAGGATAAGAACACTACTTCTAAACTAGCTAGCCCTCGCAAGTCATTGTATGGGATACACCGCCTTCAGTAAGCCTCTGCAACAATTAATGGGATGCAGATTCCAGAAAGGGATTGATTAGCGGAGAAACTTCATCCATCATCCCTCCGAAACAAAATCAATCATGTACATGTAGCGCAAGGCAAACCAGCCAGAGGTCCACTTCGGCTTCTGAAGCGAAGCTCGTAAGCCAGCTGCGCGATAATGGGACAGGAGATGCTCACTAAGAAACACTATGAAGATTGCACTAATGTGACAGCTTAAAAAAATAAACATGAAAATTAAGTGCAATAAGGTTTGACGTGGCGGAGGTGGTGTAGGGGCAAATGCCACGTTCGCACGCGCAGTACTGCGATCAAGTCCCGGATCAGCTCCCGCCCAGGTCAATCAAGCCTTCCTCCCTCCGGGACGCTAAAGTGGTGCCAGATTCGTCTGAGAGGATAAGAACACTAACTTGAACATCGGCTGGTCCCATAAAGCCATGATGTAGACCACAGTGCATTCAGTGAGTCACTACGATTCTGAATGGAAGTAGTCTGCGTGCCGCATCACAAAAAATAATTGATCAATGGCGAAGACTTTGTCCTTTCTATAAGGTTTGGCGCAAATGAATTCACGCCTATCATAATTGCGAGCCCAATGAAAAGGGTTACCGTATATCCCACGCCGTCCACATCCCCAAGTCAAGGAACCTGGTTTCAGAACCTATTCGCTCTTGTAAGCGATACTGCAGTCCCTAGCCAGGACCTTTCCAACATCAGCGTGATTCATTGGCCTCACACTGCTCTTCTATTCGATAATTTTCTTGTTGTACTATCATCAAACCGAATCTCGTGGAACAATACGTAATCTCCTCAAGATCATGACCAGCATTCTGAGTTGAAATCCAAAGGGCAAAGAATACGCATAACCTGGGAGAACACTAGTGTGCCACAGCTCCAGTTTGAAATTTGTTGCACCTTTGCAAATTTTTCAAAATTTATCTTCCACTTGGGGGTTCCACAAATCATTCCTTATTTTACTGATCTGGCTCGACCTGCGTGCCTTTGGTTTTCGGCAACAATCTTGAGTTTGCCAGAGATGGGGTCGCGTGTCGAGCGCCTTTAGAAGAAAAAAGGTTCCAAGCACATTTATAGAAGCCAGGTTTCAACAGATGATGGGTGACAGATCCCTTTGAATATAGCTGCGGAGCAAATTGCCCCTAAAATCTAGTTCACGGCGGGAAAGTCGTCTGCTCTCTGAGTAACAGAAGAAAAATACCTTTCTTTTACTGGTGAGGAAGAGACTGACCTGCTAATGTAACTGCACAAATTCTTGAAACAAAGATCGGAATGGCAACTGTCAGCCTTATACAGTACTGGAGAACGGAGTTTCAAGCGTTTCCTCGAAATGCTGCGAAGCCGAGATCTCCCCATCGTTGCCGCTCGTGACGCTTCTAGGACCATGACCCTCGCTCACTCGCTCACTTTTCTTCCGTCTAACGGATATCTTTCTGCCCCATCAGTAGGAACGTTATTGCCATCCTGCCTTTGCTCTAACTTTGCCATCTTCATTGTTCATATAGCCAATACCAACGGCACAAGATTTGTGACAAGCCTTATTAGCATGAGATTGCGACAAAACCAGATGGTGTGTGGGCGACATAGCGATAACGGGAGCCCAATGCAGAGCCAGTTTTCTTACTAGTATAAAAGACATCCGCCAAGTCAGACAAACACTTATCAACGCTTCCCAGTATTATTCCTTTCTAAGGATATCATTACTTCAGTGTCTCCAGAGCAATACTTGAACAGCTGCAATATCCTTCCTCCTGGTTTTTTTTTCTTGCTCGATGGTTTATTTCTGTTCAGGTTTAACTAAGACTTCTGCTTTAAAACGGGTGATCCCCAGAAGGATCAATTTTGTTTCTCTTGGTGGGAATGGCAAAGCATGAATCTTGGTTTCGAAACAGTCACAGGCTAGATATTAAGTGAACTTTATTATGTACATCTCTCGGAATACTGTTATATGCGTTTCATTGAATTGAAATATCAGTTTTCATTTGACAATGTCACTTATTTTAGGGTATGTTGTACCTTCACCTCACCTTGCTACTCGTTGTAGCTGTTCCTATCAATGCTATCTTATTCGGAGGAGGAGGCGGCGAAAGCAAATGTTGCTGTTGCCAGCCTCCCCCATGCTGCCCTCCACCTCCATGCTGCCCTCCACCTCCATGCTGTCCTCCACCTCCATGCTGTCCTCCTCCATGTTGTCCTCCTCCAGCGCTACCGCCCCCACCACCGCCACCACGACCATGCTGTTGTTGCTGTTGTTGTTGCCCACAACCAGCACCTCAACCATGTGGTGGTGGAGGAGGATGTGGAGGAGGCGGCGGCGGATGTGGAGGATGTGGCGGAGGAGGAGGAGGATGCGGCGGAGGATGCGGCGGAGGATGCGGCGGAGGATGCGGCGGATGTGGAGGATGCGGCGGCGGAGGTGGAGGATGCGGCGGAGGATGCGGCGGAGGATGCGGCGGAGGATGCGGCGGAGGATGTGGCGGAGGATGCGGCGGCGGAGGTGGAGGATGCGGCGGCGGAGGAGGAGGATGCGGCGGAGGATGCGGCGGAGGATGCGGCGGAGGATGCGGCGGAGGAGGCGGCGGTGGAGGATATGCCGTTGCACCCGCACCGAGCTATGCAGCACCGCCACCAAGCTATGCAGCAGCTCCACCACCACCACCACCACCACCAAGTGAGTTTCTAATACTAATGAGTAACTAATCCATGACCTTTGATCTGGTGACTAATAACTTTGATCCAATGCCTTACTATTCAGGTTATGCAGGCGCTGGCGGCTACTCAGTTGGCGGAGGAGGAGGAGGCGCATATCCGTTTGGCGGTTAGGATTCGATAGAATATTATTGCTCAAGTTGTAGAAATAGCGATAAAACATCTAATACTTTGCGTTGTTTTGCACATAGCACTTACCTGAAATGGGATTTTGTCTATGGGGACTAGGCTAAATCAAAAAAAATTAGAAATTAATGCTGTTCATCCTAGAAGAGAAGAGAAAATTAATTTTTGCATTTTAGAGCATATAGCAATGCACAGAACCTGAACGATGTGAGCGGTTGTCTACACAGAAACTTGGGCCACTAAGCTTCAAACTGCCATCCGAGTTGAAAGGGAATTCATCACATCGAGCTAGGCCAAGGTTAACCAGTGGGCCGTCTTTTTGAGAGACAGCAGTGCCAATCATAGAGCTGAAAGTGATTTCACACCAGCCATCGATGCGTTGCTTCAAAATGTATGATTGGAACCTGTCCTAGAAGTCACCTCGTAATCTGAGTTCTGAGATTCTGAGTAGAAAACGCTCACATTATGTCGCTCAGGGTAGGATTACTGAAAATAAGACATAATAATGCACTTTTTTGGATTTACTAGACGAGATTTGCCTTTAATGAAAACTGTTTGTTCAGGTGGTGGCGGCGGCAACTACGCAGGAGCAGGAGGTCAGTATTCAGCTCCAGCTCCCTCTTACGCTGGACCAGCACCTAGCTATGCAGGAGGCGGTGGAGGAGGACCAAGTTACGCAGGTGGAGGCCCAAGCTATGCTGGTGGAGGCGGAGGCCCAAGCTATGCCGGTGGAGGCGGAGGACCGAGCTATGCTGGTGGCGGCGGAGGCCCAAGCTATGCCGGTGGTGGCGGAGGACAGAGCTATGCCGGTGGAGGCGGAGGACAAAGCTATGCTAAAGGAGGATATGCTGGCGGAGGTGGAGGATATGCTGGCGGAGGAGGAGGATCAAGTTATTCCGCAGGAGGAGGATCAAGCTATTCTGGAGGATCAAGCTACTCCGGCGCTAAAGGAGGCTACTCTGGTGGCAAAGGAGGTTATTCAAGTGGAGGATATTCTGAAGGAGCTGCACCGCCACCAGCACCACAAATTCCGGCTGCACCTCCTCCACCACCTCCGCCAGCACCGGCACCAGCAGCAACTGGCGGACAGAACTATAATGAAGGCGAAGTAGGTCTAGACTTTTACAATTAGATATACTCGATATATGCTGCTCAATATTTACTTGAAAATCCCCACTTTTCACATTTCAGAGCGCTGGTGGCGGATTCGATAATGCAAACACAGCAGTTGAATCGGCTCCCGCTGCAGAGGAGGCCGAAGAAGTAGAGCCTGCTGGTGGAGCTGCCGGAGGCAACTATGACCAGAACGCTGGTGCAGCTCCTGCTGCGTCCAGTGGTGCTGCTCCTGCTGGAGCTGCTCCTGCTGGAGAAGAGTACGAAGGCGGTCAAGCTTCTCGATTGCGCCGTTTCTCGAAGACCGACAAAGGCGCACTGGACAAGAACTGCAACTCGTTGCGACTCAGGAAGATCATGCGACAGGTGTGTTTCTTTTGGCAGTAGACATAACTAAATTGTTCAGTACGGAAAAGGCAACAATGCAGTCTCGTTCTGAACTGACCCATGTTTTGACCCAACGCAAATTATGCTCTAGACCTCTTCGTAAGCAGCTTATATTCGACCCTGGCAATTCTTTTCTCCTTGACTAAACGTCATCACTCTGTTGTAGAAGCAGCATGTTTCAAAGGACTTTTAAAGGTTTTCCAGGGAAATTGCCCAAGAATATGATTCTTTAAGACAAAATAGCCTACTCAACAGACTTAGCAGCAGATGGGCACAGCCTACAACCGTAGCCAATAAGTAGGAAGATCTGGGCCAACTGGGTGCATACTTTAGCTCCTTAAGGAAAAAAGGCTCGTGATGGATGGGGGACGGTTTTAGTCCCCTGAGTCGAAGCATCAGTCGCCACACGACAGGAATCCTATCCTTCAAGGCACTGGGCGGTCTAGTAATTTAGCGCGTGATTTGACGCAGTCTTGCGTCACGATACTCACAAATAACAATCCACGCGCAAGCGGCAACCAGCTTTGTATCTCAGGCAGATAGCATTGACGCGGACAAGACTGTGTGTGATAGAGACATAGGCGCCCCATGCCTTCTGCTCATTCCTGCTTCGTGATCACATGAGCGCTATCTTTACAGTTCCCTGTTCCCTAGTCGACGCATACGATAAACCTGACGATACTTTGATAGCAGTACTATTGGTCTCGAACGGAGAACTTTCGGCATGACTGAGCAGCTTCTCAAATGCTGCTCTATTCTGGGATTTCGATACGAGCATTCTTCCTGAAGCATGCATGCTGCATGCAATCAAAGTTAACGTAGAGCTGTTTAATTATCTGCTATGTGAACAAATTCCATAAGCCAGGAGTGCAGATCCGTGGCTGTAGAACTGCACCACCTTCGCCGTTCAGAAGTGGAACAAGGGTGAAGGGTTGTAGGAGTGGTACTCTTCCAACGTCTCCCCCTATCATTTGATATAAGACATACAGACCACAGACACGCAACACGCCACACGCTGGCCCTACCCCTAAGTATAGCCGC